TTACAGCGTCAGTCCATTGTCGGTAGTCGAAGTCTGGACGTCGACCAATGAAAATGCAACCTATCCGGCTGTCATCAGAACCACCAACCATATTTGAAGGTCAGCAAATCCCTTGATCCTGCGAATGGAACGATAACTAAAGCATAACCCAGACGCAATGATGATGCTACCTCTATCATTAGCAGGACACCAAATCTACTGAGCAACTCAACCATCCGAAAGTGATGTTTCAGTAGCCTGAATGCCACCAAAATCAGCACATTTATGAAACTACTGGTTTAACTTACAGCTCATTTTTGGTCAGTTGGTCACAGTTGAGATCCCCAAATTCTGTAGCTTATTTCACTATTTCCATTGCACGAGGAGCCCTCCGAGGGACAAAACCTCTCGCCGACCAGGTGGTTTTTTTCTGGTTTTGGCGAACTTGACCTATGCGTCCTTCTGGCACACAAAACTGTAAAGTATAAATGATGGAGAGCGAGACAGATGAAAGGCGTTAAAATTTGCGTGACTAGGTTCAAACTTCAGCTTGTGTAACCACGTTTGCATTGGTTCGTTTAGCCCTAGATGATCTTTACACCAAGAGTGTAATCCTCCTGAGAGTTTCTGGTTGGATTGATTCTAATAAGAGCATGGGAGATAGAAAATACTTCCTAAGAATCTCCTAGACCCAAACAGGCCTTGGAAGACCGCTCACTTAGATCAGTCATCAACTGGTCGGGTTCAAACTCATCAAATGCTACTTTTTATAACGCCTTCCATTGCCTGTAGTCAAGGCAACACTCCGATAGGACGTACTAAATAGCAACCCAGTCGCTCCCTGGTCCATACTTGCTTTGAGAAAACTGCCTGAAGAGACCGTCTGTGAAAAAACACCTTGAAGCGTCTAAAAAAGTAATTCCCCGAAACGTGACAAACAGCTGCTTGAAAATACAGGCAATTTGCAATCACAACTGTTCTACCTGACTGCTATCCCCGTTCTAGTGTTTAGTGCCGGAAAAAAGACTCGCTAACAAGGAACAAAACAGCTTTACCTAAAAACAGCAAGTCCAAAAACTACCACCGCCTCGCGTCATTTGAAGGACACTTTTTGATATTGATCGAGGCTGTTTGATCGGCATTTTGCGGATACCCTCATCGTAGTTCTGACACACCGAAGCAGCTACTACACCCATCATCATCGATCGGGCTTCCATGAAGTACCTGAACACTTATCATGGTGGGCTTCCATGAAGTACCTGAACACTTATGGTCGGTCGTGCCTTTGTGGCGTGCCTGAACACTCATCAGCTTTTGCTGAATCGATTGAATTATTGACTGGCCTGGATGCTCACCGGCTTCCCCATTGAGATTTTGGTAAAGTTTTAGGGTTCCAGTAGGTTCCATGCATTCTCGGGCTATTTCCAGGAATCTGACCAATCTAAAAACTGCTGTCTGTGATTTCAAAGCCCGTGTTTACATCATGCTGCCTAGATTATTACGCGCCATACTCAATCTTTCGTCCCGAACTAAACGTCAGTTATTGAAGATTGCCGAAAATTTCTCTCCTAAGCTAAGGATTCAGATTTCAGAATTGCTTCACTGGTTTGCCTAAACATAAAATAGCTGAAATTAGCGAGAAAAAGGGAAGTGTTATAGTGTAGGAAGTAAAGATTTGCATAAAATTCTCAGTCAATATCTCTCTCTTTAGTTCAGGTCAGCCATCAAATCTGCCGCCTGTGTATTTGTATTATTAACAGTTGATTGCCCATAATGCAGGAGCGCATATTTAATCTGTTCTATGCTAAGACGGTTACGTGATTCAACTGGAAATGGTATCCTAAAAGATTAGACAAGCGTCATATCAGCATGGGTAGACTAACTCTAAATCTAAAAACCGATGGTAGAAAAAAGCTTTACATAACTAATTCGACTCCTGGGAAGGTTAGATTTAATCACTGTATTCGATTGGCACCTGTGTACGGATATTTATTATCGAGAAGTATACTCATTTGCAAATCAATTTGGTTCTCACGAGAGACTCAACTAAATCTCTCGTTTATGATATTCTACAACTGAATGTGCTGCACATAGGCCGCCTCATGTTTCATTTGGTACGATATTCGAGATATCGCAGTATATTTTCATGAAGGAAACTACTCAGAAGGTAGCTGAAAACTCCTCGACAACGCACGACCGGTTCCACCCTTCTTGGGGTTCATCAAGAAGGCGCAGTCCCCGAGTTTCTGTCGAACTTATGTTCTACTTGAACCCAACTTGGACTGTTTTCGAGAAATACACTCATTTGTTAGTCAATTTGGTTTTCACGACAGACTCGACTGAAACTCTCGTTTATGATATCCAACAAGTAAAACATGAGGTTGACGGAAACTCGGGGACTGCGCCTACCTGATGAGTCTAAAGTGGAAGGTCGAAACCGGTCGTGGGCTGTCGAAGAGTTTTCAGCAACCTTGTGAGTAGTTTCCTTTATTGAAAAAAGGAGGACTGGATATAAAGCAACAGAAGAAGGTCATGGATGGCACAAAATTCATGAGAAAACTGAACAGAAACGCACTCCAACTCATCCTCCAAATGTTGTTCAGTTTCAGATCCCTATGAACTTGACAGAATTGTGAATGAGGCACTTTTTCTCAAGGTGAGTCAAAACAGGAGGCATTGTTGTTTGTCGCTGTCTTGTAATACCTAAAATTCTGTCACTATTTTATATCTCACACACTTTCTCCCCAGGTACAACTGTTATACACTGGTGTGTTTGGAATACTTGAGCTACTGGTTTGTTGGGGCTCGCCATCTCACAGATTTGACAAAAAACCTCAATTATCCCACAGTCAGCCAAACCAGTTTTTATCCCCTAAGCGTCAACATGTTCATTTTATCGGACGTGATCATTCAGGGGCGTCGAACGTGTGCTGGCAAACCAGCTGTTGGCATGCTTCCATCGTTTATGTTGTTTGACCACTGTTCAAATTCCATTCGGCTCGAACGTGCAAGAAGTACCGCACACACAAACATTCAATAAAATATTCCTTGCGTACTACGGACGGGAAAGACTGGTCGCTCTTCAGACTACTTTACTTCTCCCTTAGCTAATAGAATTTCTTACCCACTCAGGATTTTAGTTTTCCTCAGGTGTTCACTAAAGTTTTTTCCTCAGGAAATTTCTGTGACAGTTTTCCGGTAAATAATATGAATCCGTTGTTTTTCATCAAACGATATTGATGAGGACAACAAGTCCAACGCCTTCCAGTGGATGCTTTCTCGCACAAGAAGTATAAAAACTCATTCACATTTTGCTTAAACTGTTGCGTGCCTGCCATACAGCAAAAAAGGGCCAAATCGCTCTGAGAAATGTGCGTGGTGCACTGCTGTTGATGGTCACAACACAAATCAGGTGTATGCACTAATAAAGGTTTTTAGCATGGTTGACAGTGGTGGGTTGCAACACGTATAAAAATAAATACAATGCGAAAGTGGGAGCGGGTCGAAAGGGAACTTATCGTATGTGAGAGTCCCTTGATAAAATTCCGGACGGTGGGAACGTGTTTTCTTCGCAGTATGGCTGCTACATGTGTTCCATGATTGTCCGTGTACTTGTGGAGAGGTTGACGTCCTGCTACCTGCGCGCGCGCGAGTCTGTGTGACTTGACTGGGTTCGGTTTGCCTTTATGTGGATCCCAGTGCGTGTATGTGGGCGCGTCGGCACATGAGTGAGTACAGACGATCGATGTCCGATGAGTCACCCTAATGTGACGTGGTTTGTGGGTATGAAAAAAGACAAGTCTCGTGATTCAGTGAGCGACTGTTGGGCTGAACGGTCAAGTATATGGATGACGGGGTAGCTACAAGTTCACAGCTCTCGTGCTTCCCTCCACTTGTCCCAGTAGTTTGAAAAAGGTGATTGGCCCAGTACGCTCATGGAGAGGCCGTGATTTGGCTTGAAAGTCTCGTGAGCTCAACAGCAATTTACCATTGTTGCAACAAGACTAAAGCCGTCCAAACGTCCTCTAATTACGTGGCATATATAATCCTCTGTAAACTCCCCACGTTTGTTGCTTTTATTTGTGAATTCCCCTCAAAATATTAGTGTTTAGCTTCTAGTTTGTTTATCCCACCCACTTGGCTTAATCTGCCCTGAGGTTCAAAAGTAATTAATTCCTACGCTTGACCATGCGTGCATGTTCATATGCTTGAAATCGCTTCATTTGTACTGTTTGTATCATTTTGGTCTAAACAAATTACATGTTGGGGACGAGTGTTTCCCTTCGGGCTTTCTGTATTTTCCATAAGGCAGTGTTACACCTTGATCTGGTTTTATTTTGCCTACATAGAGGGCCCGGTGTGACGCCCAAGTCGAATATGCCCTTTCGCTTGTAACAAAAGGTGACATAGACAAACTGCACGAGGATAGAGGGAATTCAACCGATCGGTGAGTAGTGCTCATCGAATTCTTCCCTAAATAGTCCTTCAAGAAGGCTTCAACTTATGCCGTACGTCAAAGCCAGGGATCACACATGACCTACGCCTTGTTTGGTGTCGGCCAAACATGTCGTTTGGAAAAAAAATCTATCAAAATCTATTGTTCAGTTTCAAAGAGGTGCTCACGAACCTGGCTGAGTAAATTCTGCATTTCTGTCTCTCACGAACAGAGCTGCTTTGTTCACTGCAGTCTGAAATACAACTCGACAAAATTCGTAGTCATACTGAGTGTGTATCGAACCTTGAATTATGAGTTACTGTCTGCACAAGATTGCTGATTGGTCAGTAGAATTAGACTGTCACGAAGAGACTGAACCTTACCGTGGTGTGACGGTTTGCGCACCTCAGCGATCCATTGAGCTATACTGAAGAGTGTCACGTGACACTCACCGAGTCTCCCATACCAGGTTGGTCAATGATTAGAGATCTGAAAAACATTCTGCTGGTTCTCTGGGTTGGGGGCTGGAACATGTGGCCACTTCTTCCGTAGAAACGGTAATGCATTTGCATTTCCCGCCAAACACCGCTTCCTTGCCGTTAGGCTTTTTAGCCAAAGGCTTTGGTTGAGGACCCTAATCGTCCTCCTGTCTCGGTGTGGGCGCCCTGACATGAACTGCACATATCGGTGTTGAACACTGATGTCACGCTGTCGATGATGACGATGATGATGGTGATGCAGTAGAATTAAACGGTATGAAAGCCATACCGCTGATCGCAATTTTTTGGTATTAAAGATTTGAGTGAAACTGCACAACTACACACATTTGCCTGAAGCTCAACAACTTGGATCAAAAATTTTTCAGGAACTACCTATCAAGTTTGACAATCGATGTCTTCGGCGAATTGTTATAGTATGGTGTGAACACCACATCACCAATGCTGAAGTACCTCGAACGGTGTTCAGAAGGAACAACTCACCCAAGAAAGATCAACTGATCACGCTCAATAGATTGTGCTGACTTGGTCACATGCTCCGTTTGCCAGTCGATCGATTTCTTCGAAGGGCTCTTTCCGCACAAACACTCAAAGGGGATGTCAAACTGACTTGGAAATGAAGTAAAAAAGCTACTACCAGTAAACCCAACTACTCTGGTCATTGCCGTCTCCCTGGATGGGATCCCGAGATATTGTCAGCCCTGGTGTAGTTACGCCCTTAATGGCGCTCATACGTCCAAGCTACTGCCTTGAATGCAAAGTTCCTCTCCCAGTCTCCCCATTAAAAATCCACTGATAACATTTTATTTACGCATCACCTATACCAGCTACCGCCCTGAAATGCGCAGCTATCTACTCCACCTGCCCAGAGCGTTGTGGCAGGTGGCAGCTAAAAACCACGTAACAGCAAGTATATGGTTTTTACAGCTGATGATGATGATACACTTGGAAGTTTATTCATCGATTTTGCAATCGGGTATCTTGTATTTGAAGTGAACGTATCACAGAAAATCCGTCCACTTTGGGTGATGCAATTTATTCTTAGTGAAGTACACTCACAACGCTGAGTAACAGGAATCATCTACCTTCAAGATACCACACTAAGCTTGAACGTGTTGTCTTAGTGTCTTGACGGTGTCCGACAACGTGAGAACATCTGAAGTTCATCCTATATCTTTCAGACGTTTTAGATTGGTTTGTAGGTGGTCACACTTTCAAGAATTAAAAAGCACGTCGTTATCAAGACAGTGTGATGTTGCCTTAACCTGTTAGTGTTTTTGTGACTTATTGGTTCTCCTTGAACAATACCGACACTTTCAAAGCATAGTTTTAATGTGAATTTCTCGCTAAAGGGCAGATTCTAGCCTTTCTGTCCATGTTGATTGTTGACGAATCATTTATTTAGTTCCGTAAGCATAACTCAAAGATTTTATTGTCGTACAGTGCAACCAAATATGTATTCTACAGTTTTTTAAAAAGTCCGTCACAGTCTGATTTGGAAATTCGCTGGTCTCAGTGAGATAGAGTTCCAACCTCACTGCCTTTACCGATAAAGTCAGGTTAGCTCTGTGGAACTTGGTAGTTTGTCCCACAGCCTATCCAATCTGATGAAGTCATATGGATGAGACAGATACTTCCCAAACCCCACTGCCATTCTCACCGGGATGTATCTTAGAATGGGGCACATCTACAAGATCAAATAGATTTTTGTACGTATATCAGGCACTGACAACTACTCAGCGAGGAGCATGTAACAGATGGTGAATAGCCTTCATTGCTCAACAGGATACCCGGTTGCATTGGCATTCTAATCTGCCTTGTTTTCTGAACCAAGAGATCTGTAACTACCTAAAGCGCCTGAATATCTAAATGGCACCACATCGGCATCTATGAAGTTTGACTCGAGAAGATATCCATATGTTTACGGTGAATATTGCTCTGCGGGTATCTGCGCCCTTCAAACACGCCACATGTCGAGATCGCCCTTGGTTCCTATAGGTTCCCTTTACGATCCCACGATGGCCAACGTTATATTATTATAAAAGATCTGTCCTTTACGCCATTGGGAGTTACTTCGAATCCCCATCAGTTTTCATAACTAAGGGAAGGTTTCGTACGCTATTTTGGCAACAGTGCCTTTGGCATTAGATTCGATCGCATGGTTAGTAATTTGCATGAGTCATTTGGCTTTTCTACAGTCAGGTCGGTATTTTTGTAAGTTGTCATCCGTTTGTTCCAAACTGAACTTATCTTCTTCATTCTTCATCCTCCCTCCACAAAAAAAGAGTATCAATGATGTCATGCAGATGAGGTTTGACCTTGCTACAGAGCGCTACCGGCTGGAAAAGAACACAAAGGACCCTCGTTCTAGATACAAGTGAGCTGAATTCTATCTTAGCGAGATACACTCATTTCCAAACTGGTTCGGTTTTAGGAGAGACTCACCTGGAACCCTGTTGAATCTCTCGTTTGTCATGTTTCCAGGCAACTGAATGTACTGCACTAGGCCGCCTCATGTTCCAACTGCTAGGATATTCGAGATATCGCGATACACGTTTGGACGCAATGCACTACTCATTAGGTTGCTGAAAATTCTTCGACAGCCCACGACCGGTTTCGTCCTTCATCATAAACGAGAGATTCAGTTGGGTTCCGGGTGAGTTTTTTGTTTGTTCACAAATGAGTTTACTTTGCGAACTTCGTGTAATTTGGTTTCAACTAAAA